CGGGACAGAGTGGGGACAGAGAGAGAGAAAGGGGCAGACAGAGAGAGAGAGAAACAGACAGCGAGTGCGCAAAGCAGAGAAACGAAGCCAGGGAAGGTTGCTTGTGAGAGTGTGAGGGGGAGGGAAGGGAGAGAGAGAGTGCAAGGTAGATAGAGAAAGAGAGGGAGTGTGAGGTTGAGAGACTAAGCCAAGGTGAGAGAGAGTGTTTGGGAAAACTGGGATTTGGATAAAGAGAGGTGAGAGGACAGAGAGAGAGACAGAGGAAATGGAGAAAGTCAGTAAAGGCTGGGTCAGGAAAGAGTGAGCAGGATTGGGGGAGAGAGGAAGTGTTGAATGAACGAGAACACATAGGAGGGAGAGAGAGCACGTGAAGGAGGGAGGAAGAGCACGAGGGAGGGAGGGCACACGCGTGAGCGATGAGCAGAAAGAGACAGACAGAGCGAGGGAGAGAGAAGGTATGAGGGTGAGGTACCTGTTGAAAGCAGAGTCGGTGACCGCGGTCTGTGTCAGGTCGAGGTACTCCAGCCTGGAGCAGCTGTTGAGGATCTGCCGGACCTGCCGGGGAGTGGGGAGCAGAGGAGAAAGCCATCAGCAGTCAGATCTGGTGACTGTATTTCCCGAGAGGGAAGGGGGTGTAGCTGCTTCCTTGACCCTCTCCCTGCCCACCCACCATGGGGGGGAAGCGGGGGGGGGGACTGCCAACCCTGAGGACTGGGCATGACATCAGCTGCCTCTCTCTCCCCCTCCACTTCCTCTGTTTGCCTGCCTGTCTCTTACTCCCATCTGTCTGCCTCTCTCTCTCCCCCGTCTGCCTGCCTGTTTTTGTCTCTCTCTCTTCCCCGCACCCCCCCAGTCTCTGTCTCCGTGTCTGTCTACTTCTGTCTCCATCTCCTTCTCTACCCCGTGTGTGTGTGTCTCTCTCTCTCTCTCCCCCCCCTCCCACTCTCCCGCCTCCTCCACTGTCCGTCTGGGCCCAGATTCTGGGGCGTTGGGGGGGTGGGGGGGTTGCTCAGTCAGCACACGCCTACGGAAGGAGAGTCCTCTCCTTTCCAACACAGTCAGGCTGAAGGAAACCCTCCCGAACGAGGGGCCCTGGCGGGGTTTGAACCCGGGACCACGCGGCCTCCAGTCGAGCTCGCCCCCAACCGTGACCGCCACCTTCCAACTGGCCCTTAGGCATGACGACCTACCATTTGGCTAGACAGAGCAGTGCTGTAGGCCAAAACCAGCGTCCTTACAGCTGCACCGACCTGGGGCAGCAAGTAATGGATCAGGGCTTGCAGCAGCTGCACCTCCCGCTGCGTCTTGCTGAGTGTTGACGGTTCACGTCCGGATTCCTCTTCCAGAGTGGGCAGGCAGGGAAAGATGGGGAACAGAAGAGACAGCCCAGTTAGACATCGCGACAGTGCAACTTC